TTAGTCAAATGTTTTTCAATGATAGATCATTATTTGATATTCTGATACAAAGGAAATTTTTTATGCCATCACTTCTGGTTTTCTTCGATCGCTGATTAATTAACATTTTATGACCCTTTTGTTCAGAAGAGTTCTAAGGACGGTTTATTTTTCAGGATATACGTTGAAGTTGTGTAGGGTATATGATTTTTGCAAAAGAGACTCAAAGCGCCTGAACTCGCTATGGTGCAAAAATTGAGAACGCAGATTTCAGCAAAATTTTGATTTTTGATTGATTTTGCTTTCATTGAATATTTTGTTAAACATATAACGCTGACTCCTTAAGAAAAATTTGTAATCTTTTGCCCGTTTAAAAAAAAAAAAAAAAAAAACACAGAAGTATTCAATTCAATTAATTATTATTACTACACTAAATTGCCTTCATCAGAAAAACAAAGATGCAAATAATTTGTATTGATGAAATCAATAAATGTTTTGATGCATGCATAAATTCAATTAATGCTCAAAATAATTGATAATATTACTCTCATCGATGGGATTCGATTTAAGTTCTAAAAAATGTGACGAGTTTAGGACTTTTGCTCGCAAAAACTAATCTTCAGCTTCTTTTAATTGGTTTTTTTTAAAATTGAATTTATTTAAGGAATAACTGTCTTATTTTTTGGATTCATGATGTGATCAATCGAGTGGCTTGCGTGATAATTTGCATAAACGCCGAAGGCGTTTATGCATAAAATTATCACGCAAGCCAATCGATTGATCATCGTCATGAATCCAAAAAATCTGACAGTTATTCCTTATATTTACATGCTCCTGATTCTGCAAATTCCCGTGCTAACAGCCCCGCTTCTGTCTCTATTTGTCCCGCCCCGCACGTGATTTTTTTTTAACCGCGCCTATCGATGAACCAGTAGATTTATGTAGAAATAAAGTATTTTTACAATTTGTAATTTTATCTCGGACAAAGACATTGGAAATGTAAATATTTTAAGGTAAACTTATGTAACATAAAAATATGTAAATTTGGCTGGTAAGTGCAGTATGCTTCATGATTCTTTGTATGTTATCCATGTATGTGAAAGCATGAGCATCATCCGGTAAAAAAATAAAATATACTGTAAATTTCTGATTTTACGAGAGTACTTAATATCGCAAAATGGCCCAAGGACGTCAAGTCGCGGGAACAATAATTCTCGAATCGAATCGGTGAATTATCTAGAGATTTTACACACATTAAAGCACCATAAAAAATAAAAGCGAGTAATTTTATTTCGCGAGTGGTGCTTCTCGCGTAATTACCCGAAAATTTATTCCTAGCGTATATTTCGGAATCTTAAGTACATACAATGTAGAAATCATAGCGGTATGGTAATCTGTCCGAACTGTAAGGATTTGCTCTACGACAGACGACATCCAAAATAAGAATTCAATTCTTATATGCATTCTCTTATTTTTTTGTTTCATAAATATTGATTTTATTCTTCTGTATTATAGTAAGATTTAATTCGATTTCATCTCAGTTAAAATTTAAGACGATCTACGCTTGATATTTTCCAATCAATTTATTGGCGTAAGATACAAAATTTGTCTATTACAGGATGTAGTCCTTTGAATAACATGTTACTAATGTATTTTTGATACCATAATTTCAAATTAAGCTTTCATTTATTTCATATAGATTCTAGTAATTTGTAAGTCATAAAACAGTGTATCTTATATACAAACGTAAAAATAACAATATTTTTTCTACATTGGGTCTTAGATGGTATGTATTTGAATCACGTTGTTATTTGTAAATGGAAATATCACCTTACAAATGCTTTACTCTATCTGCATTCAGATAGTCAGGGTCAGGGTAGATGGTTAAGAAACTGTTGGAAATATAAAAAAGTCAAGATATAATAAGAAAAATATAACTATAACTCGAAAAACCGCATGATTGGATCTAGAGGGGAGGGGGGGGGGGGCTAAGAAAAAATACTACTATAGTTTACTATAGTTTATTATAGTTAACTATTGCTTACTTTAGTCAACTATAGTTAGCTATAGTAAATCAAAGTTTCAAAGCTATCACGTTAGTACATGTAAATCAACATTTACAAAGTTATCACTATAGTGTCAAAGTTATCACTATGGTAAATCAAAGTTTTCATAGTGTCAAAGTTATTACTATAGTAAATCAAAGTTTTCATAGTGAACACTACAGTAAAGAAAAGTTTTTTTCATAGTGACCACTACAGTAAATCAAACTTTTTCATAGTGATCACTATAGTAAATGAAAGTGTTCATAGTGTCAAAGTTATCACTAAAGTAAATCAAAGTTTTCATCGTGAACACTACAGTAAATCAACGTTTTCAAGTGATCACTATAGTAAATTAAAGTACCGGTACAACATTTACACTATGGTAAATCAAAGTCAGCAATATAGTTTATAAAAATTTTACATATGAAGCTTCTGGAAATTAAAAGTTTAAAATTTATTACTACAGTATATAATTTTCTGTGATACATGTAGAAGTTAATTAATTTCACAACATTAGTACAGTATTATCCACTTTTGCAGATTATCTCAATTCACAAAAGATTTCTATTGATGTCTTCTATTTCAAATAATCCCATGCACTTTGCATGCAATTCGTTTTTTGCATTCAATTTTATTTTTAATTTCCTATTCTTTAAAAAAAACAAACTATGGGTTTCTCAGATTTCTACTATAGAACATTTCTAAAATGAATATTGTTTTGCTTTTTTTTTTAAATTGCCTTTTTTTTATTAGTAAATAATATAATTTCATGTTATTGAGCATGTAAAGAACACATATAGAGTAACCATAATTTACAATGATATCAAGTATATTTGAGTAATAACTTTAGTAAATCAAAGTTTTCATGTTAAACACTATAGTATTTCAAAGTTTTCATAGTGTCAAGGTTATCAATATGAAATATCCAAGATTTCATTGTAATCACTGTAGTAAATAAAAGTTTTCATACTGATCACTTACTTAGTAAATCAAAGTTTTCATAGTGATCACTTTAGTAAATCAAAGTTTTCATAGTGATCACTATAGGAAATCAAAGTTTTCATAGTTATCATTATGGGAAATCAAAGTTTTAATCTTATCACCATAGTTAACTATAGTAAACTATAGTTAACTATAGTAAACTTTTGTTTACTATAGGTCGGGGCCGGGGAGGGGGGGGTGGGGGTCCGGACTCCCTCCTTCCCCTGGAATTTGTCGATTATGGAACCCCCCCTAGAAAACGCGGACCCCTATTAAGTTGGTATGAGAAGTCATATATATGAAGCTTAAAATTTGAGCGGCTGCTACCCCAACCCCCAAATCACCTTCGAAATATGTTTTTAACATTTGGGAAAAGAGTTTATGGTTTTTTTTTTAACAGGGTTGGAACCCCCCCCCCCCTTGGAAAAAAAATCCTGGATCCGCGCCTAAACCCGATAAATTTTCTGTTAAATAATTGAAACAGCTTGATTTGAATTTTTTTTTTAAATGGTTAAAAAGGACCATTTTTTAAAACAACTCTTATAGATAATTGCTCAAAGTAAGATAATAATTAAAAGGGGTAGAGGCGAGAATCAGGTGGGGCGCTCCTGAAGTCAGCCCCCAGTCAATCCAATGAATATTAGTTCAGAGATAGTGTCACTGTCATAAATCGATGTATTACTGCTAAGATGGTTGTCTGTTTTCTGATTTTCAAAAGCTTACAATACTGTTAGATTTAATACTTTGCTTATAGGGGTCCCAACTGGACAGTGCCCTGGACACACTGGAGATGTTGGCGGTCACTAGACCTCTTGCCACCTAATAACGCCTCTCCTGACACAAAATCCTGGACCTGCGCCTATTTTATCAACGATATATTGAGATACGAAAAGGCCTGCATTACAGATTGAGAGATCTCGAATATTCTTATTCTCAGATGATTCAATTCACACTTTACAACCATTTAGTCAAAATAATTTTTTTTTTTTTTTTTTTTTGTTGATTTCGTAAAATATAGTTTCTAAGCAAAAATTTGCTGAATCAAAACTGAGTGCTAAAATTTTGTAAGCATTACTTTTTCTAAAAAGGTAGATGCATAGATTTAAAAAATAATAAGTAAGAGACCCTAAAATAAATACTCTATGAAACTACACTGTAGTTTATTTTTTTTTTTTTTTTTTTATAAATTTAACTATAGTAAATCAAAGAAAATATAAACTTCGGTATCTTGAACACGGAAAAGGAATAATTAAAAGTTTTTTTCTAAGTTAATGGAAGGTCTTTTTTTTCAACTTTATTTTGCATTTGTAAATCAAAGTATTAATTCTTACTATAATTAATCGAAGTTCAAATATTGATTAAAGTAAATTTTCGTCAGTAAATCAAAGTATCATTTTTTTTACTATTAAGTAAACCGACTATGAAATGTTTATCTAACTACATTTTATAATAATAAATCAAAATATCAAAGTATCACTATTATAATAGTTTATTAAAGATCAAATGATTTGATAGAGTAAATAAAGATGAATTTAAATATTATTCCTAGTAATGTGTAGAACAATCAACCCTGGCAACATTTTTTCCGATATGGTTAGGAATGAAAAATTAATAATTCATGGAAATAAGAAAGACTGTTCAGTTGAAATGTACAGTTGCCATTTTAAACATGAATAGCACTGCGGAAGGTGGAGACCTGTCCTTCCCATGACACCGCGTAAACCGAGGTCTCATGTTGCAGTAGGTGTTGGCACGAAAAAGATCCTTCAATGCTCTATGCTATTTGTCAAAATTTGCAGCCATCAAACGGTAAGTGGTTGTGTCTCCATATGAGTGAACAATTCTAGAGAGGGACGTTAAACAACAAACAAATTAAACATGAAAAGTGTTCATTTTAACATAAAAGGACACATATGATACGCTTTGAAATGCAGATGTTAAGATTCTGATCTTCTGTGAACTCCCTAGAACACAAAACAATTTGAGAATGCCCGATATCAATGATTCATTTTATTGAAACATATTTAATACTGTGTCATGTGTACAAAACAATTATAAAACGTACATGTACATTATTTCACAAATGAAAAAAATCTAAAAAGATAGACTTTGCAAGGCCCACCATAAAGTACAATATAATTTTAAACATACCCATGGAAGACTGCTAGCAAACTGTATTTGGATCAGAGGGATTGCAAGGCGTTTTATATGAATATTTTTTGAGAGAGTACGGTCTTCTAAAAAGGTAAACTGGTAATTGTGTCTTTTTAACACCTCCAGATGAGAGTGATGCCCCAGAAACTGCGGGTTTCTGCCAATACCCTGGGTTTCCATTCTTCCCATTTCCGTTTCCATTACCATTTCCACAACCTGGCCCTTTACCGTCAGGTCCGCATCCATTGCCATTACCATTTCCATAGTATCCATTCCCTCCATTTCCATTTCCATTGCCGTTTCCATTTCCGTTTCCATTACCATTTCCATAGTATCCATTCCCTCCATTCCCATTACCCTTTCCATTGCCAATTCCATTTCCGTTACCATTGCCATTACCATTTCCATAGTATCCATTCCCTCCATTTCCATTACCCTTTCCATTGCCATTTTCATAGTATCCATTCCCTCCATTTCCATGACCCTTTCCATTGTCATTTCCATTGCCGTTTCCATTACCATTTCCACAACCAGGTCCTTTTCCGTCAGGTCCGCATCCATTTCCATTACCATTTCCATAGTGTCCATTCCCTCCATTCCCATTACCCTTTCCATTGCCATTTCCATTGCCATTTCCATTTCCGTTTCCATTGCCATTACCATTTCCATAGTATCCATTCCCTCCATTTCCATTATCCTTTCCATTACCATTTCCATAGTTTCCATTCCCTCCATTTCCATGACCCTTTCCATTGCCATTTCCATTGCCGTTTCCATTACCATTTCCACAACCAGGTCCTTTTCCGTCAGGTCCGCATCCATTTCCATTACCATTTCCATAGTATCCATTCCCTCCATTCCCATTACCCTTTCCATTGCCATTTCCATTTCCATTGCCATTACCATTTCCATAGTATCCATTCCCTCCATTTCCATTACCCTTCCCATTGCCATTTTCATAGTATCCATTCCCTCCATTTCCATGACCCTTTCCATTGCCATTTCCATTGCCGTTTCCATTACCATTTCCACAACCAGGTCCTTTTCCGTCAGGTCCGCATCCATTTCCATTACCATTTCCATAGTGTCCATTCCCTCCATTCCCATTACCCTTTCCATTGCCATTTCCATTGCCATTTCCATTTCCGTTTCCATTGCCATTACCATTTCCATAGTATCCATTCCCTCCATTTCCATTATCCTTTCCATTACCATTTCCATAGTATCCATTCCCTCCATTTCGATTTCCATTGCCGTTTCCATTACCATTTCCACAACCAGGTCCTTTTCCGTCAGGTCCGCATCCATTGCCATTACCATTTCCATAGTGTCCATTGCCATTACCATTGCCATTTCCATCACCATTGCCATTTCCATTACCATTGCCATTTCCATTACCATTTCCACATCCAGGTCCTTTTCCGTCAGGTCCGCATCCATTGCCATTACCATTTCCGTTTCCACCATTCCATCCATTACCATTGCCATTTCCATTACCATTTCCACAACCAGGTCCTTTTCCGTCAGGTCCGCACCCATTGCCATTGCCATTTCCATTACCTTTTCCATTACCATTTTCACAACCAGGACCTTTTCCATCAGGTCCGCATCCATTGCCATTTCCATTCTTTCCATTACCATTACCATTTCCTTTACCATTTCCTTTCCTTCTCTTTCCACCATTTCCCTTGCCGTTACCATTACCATTTCCATTGTTACAATTAGGTCCTTTTCCGTCTGGACCGCATTCATTTCCGTTCTCTTTGCCATTTCTTTTGTTCTTTCCATTTCTACCTCCTTTTTCATTCCCGCCATTGCCTTTGCCTTTTTTATTACCATTGTCACAGTCAGGTCCTTTGCCATCAGGTCCGCATCCGTTTCCCTTGCCATTTCCTTTATCCTTGCCATTTCTTTTTTTATTTCCCCTTCCACCTTTCAGTGCCCTGAGTATTTTAGAATATCTTTTTTTGCCGTATTTGTTCCCATTTTTTCCGTTGCCATCATATTCCAATCCATCATCATCACCATCATCATCGTCATCATCGCTGTTAGATCCACTCCCACTGTCAGATCCACTACTTGATCCACTTCTTGATCCACTACTTGATCCACTACTTGATCCACTTCCTGAACTACTGTCACTTCCAGAGCTTCCACTTCCAGACCCAGATCCACTCCCAGATCCTGAACCGCTGCCACTACCAGAACTACTATCGCTTCCAGACCCTGATCCAGAATCTGAACTATCTCCTGAGTCATCATCACAGCTTTCATCGCTTCCGCTTCCTGAGTCACTACCACTGTCAGAGCCACTGCTTGATCCACTCCCAGATCTTGATCCACTTTTTGATCCACTTCCAGATCCTGAGTCACTCCCAGATCCAGAGCTTTCATTGCTACCGCTTCCTGAATCACTATCACTTCCTGATCCACTTCCAGATCCACTACTCGAACCACTTCCCGAGTCACTCTCAGATCCAGATCCACTTCCAGATCCCGATCCAGAATCTGAAGAATCTCCTGAGTCATCACTGCTTTCGCTGCTTCCACTTCCTGAGTCACTACCACTGCTAGATCCACTGTCTGATCCACTCCCTGATTCGCTACTAGAATCACTTCTTGATCCACTGTCTGATCCACTTCCTGATCCACTACTTGAACCACTGTCTGATCCACTCCCAGATCCACTGTCGGAATCACTTCCTGATCCACTGCTTGAGCTACTTCCTGATTCACTGCTGGAGCTACTACTTGCAGAATCGTCTCCATCATCTTCTCCATAATCACCATCATATTTTCCATAATCATCATCGTCACCATCACCGTCACCATCCCCGTTCTCTCCATCATCACCACCATCGTCTCCGTCATCGCCACCGTCGTCTTCGTCGTCTTCGCCATCATCGCCTCCGTCTCCGTTTCCTCCATTCTCTCCATTTCCACCATTGCCTCCGTTTTTCACCAAACTCTTGTATTTTGCCTCCCCTTATACAAGAAGAATCCAACATCACTCAAATTTTATTTAATCATTCTTACCACATATTTTCTTCTTAAGGTATCCGATCCATAAAAGGACATTATTTTCTAACTTTAAATATCCATCCTGTATTAAATACTCGGAAATGAATTCAAAGCATTTTAAAGTAGAAAAAGATTTACCAAGAGAAATTTTCAAAAATATAATTACCTAAGCAGTAATTAATTAATGAAGAATGCATTGAGGTCTATGGGGACAAGCAAATATTTGAGAATAAAAATTTAAATACTAAGAATATCAAAAAAATGCTTTGGTGGAAAGATGTGTTTAATTATTAGGAATAGAAAAACGATTGAAAACTAATTTTTTACCAGGTAGACTATTTTAGAATTGATTTTTTATTGATTAAAAGCAAAGGGGGATAACTCTTCAAGGACAGGACAAGGTCAAAAATTAGGACACAATCCGCTCTTACATATTGATACTAAAACATTAAGATTATGTCTACATATACTGAGTATTCAGCCAATATATATCTGTTATGCATTCAGATTCATTGAATCTGAGCAATTATGGATCGGATACCTTAAACGTATTGCTAAAAAGAGAATTATAATATTGCTATATCGAAACTATATCTTAAAGAAAGTGCTCGAAGGAATGCAATATATTAGGCATACCCTTTTCTTTTCAGTAATAAAACATTTTGCAGAATATAAGTGTACAAATCAAATGTTTCCCAGCGTCTCCATATGAGTGAAAAATTCTCGAGAGGGACGTTAAACAACAAATAAATAAATGTTTCCCAAAGAGGTTAAAAGATCTGTTCATAGTGTGTAGACGAGGTTAATTGTCTGCAGCGTAGTTTATTTTAAATAAGAAAATGAAAGTTCATGTTTTCTTGTACAATTGATGATATAGTAAAAAGTACTTGAAACAAGAAAATAAACGTAAAATTATAAAATTTATTTTAAAGTCTGAGAACGACTCGTAAACTAAGTGCGGATACTTAAGTGATCCATAACCCTTTTAAAGTACTCTATTAATTACTTATGTAATTCTATAAAGAGACCAAGGGAGACTACAAATTGCATTCAAGTTAAATTAACGTTTACATTAACATATTGCTCAAAAATTGTTACGAGAGGGACATTCGGGTAAAAATACCAGACAACAAAGGACCCCCCCCCCCCCAAAAAAAAAAAACCCTGCAAGTTATAGGGTTTTTTTTCAGTCTTGACACTTATTCTCAAAACTGATTTTTAGATATTTCTACTTACAGTCAATTTCACATCCACAACTTGCCCCCGAAAAAATTTCGTCGGCAGCACATGACCTTTGCCTCCATCGGCCTCTGATTTTCTCTTCATATTTACACTTGTCTCCTAGTTTAGCCCTCTTTTTACACCGGCCTGTGATATAACAACGTTATTGCATAGGTGTTGCTTCTTTTAGTTAACATGCAGTTAGGGTCAGACAACACGTTCCTTGAAAATATATAATTTTCCCCAAGAATTTGTCAAAGAAGTATCGCTACTTAAACAAATTTCCTCACCAAAAATTGAGGCATCTTACCAGGCATTTGGGCAAGATACCAGAGGGTTATATTTCCTATATAATACTTGTGGGTAATCTATTGAATTGCCAATGTTACAATTTTTGGTGTACTTACTTTTTAAAACATATTGAAAACCATTTAGAAGTCACAAGAGAATGACAATAATGAATATTTTTTTGCATGATACCAAGGTATACAAAACATATATTTGGGGAACGTGTCGTCTGACCTTAATATCATATACATACGATAGAGAATAATACATAAATAACATTTCTATAGTATTTGATAAATGTAGATTTTACAAGGGTTGTTAAAAAATTACGCAGGCTCTGCTATTTTCACGCTTATAAACGTCAAATAGTAATGAAATTTCACAGAACCATATCTCTTCAAGATTCCAGCAAATTTCTGGTATTTTGTTTTTATTTTCATTAATTTCTTCTTAAATCATTACTGTTTTAATAATGCTGATGGTGTATGGAGCACGGCAAAAAATGTGAAAAATAAATGACTGGAATCCAGATCTTTTTTCTATAATTCGCGCTAATATTCGACAATTTAAGCTTAGGTTTCTTTTTATTGTTCTTTTAGTATGTATTTAGATTATGGTCGCAATACTTAATGCATTAACAGAAATACTGTGATTTTCTTCTCCGATGTGATCCCTATGAAAACAACTGCAAAAATATAACGTCTCCTGATATGACAGAACAGCACATTTTTGTTAAATTACGTGTGATGCTCAAGAAAATCCCAACATATACCTACAATATTCTTCTTGAAACATCAAATAAACCAGCGGTGTTCCCGACTTATGTCTAAAAAATGGCCAAAGATAATCCTAGACGTTTAGACGCTTGAAAAGGCAATCCGCGAGGGTAGGAAAGATCATCGACTAAAACTTTATCTAAACTGTAAAGAACGTGATTGAAGGTGACCGATCCGTGATGTCACACAATTTTTTTTTTCAGAAATTTGGACTTGTGTTTAAAACAAACAAGAACATACTTTACTATGTTTATAGTTTTTAAGCTGTACCAGAATTGCAATGTTGATGTTAATGCTGAATGGGAAAGGTAACCCAAACTAAATAGTATCAAACACAAAGGGAAAATGTTGAGAAAATGAAAGCTCACAATTTTAATAATGCCTGTCACACCAAAGATTTAACTGTACCTCGTGATATGTCTTGTTAAAATACCCAAAACTGAAATCAATTAATAATATTTTTATATGAAATTTTGATGACAATATAACTAAAGAATCTTTATATTATGTTTGACTTTTGCTTGATTATGTCTTCAATTTTTTTTTTGCTGTGCAGCAACTTTGCGTAATTATTGAACGGCCCTCATATAAAAATAAATGTAGTTGATATTCCAACACTTTTGCTCCTGATCTTTCTGTCTTTCTAGCTGTCTTTCTGTATCTCCCTGATTGCTTATGTACTCGCATGATAATACTATAAACTTACTTCTTCTGGCCAAAGCATCTCCAACGATGAGGCAAATAAGCAAAAGGAACAAAAACGTCCGCATCTCCTGATAAACCCAAGTGGATGAATTTCTAAAATAACAAAACGAGGAAGTAAATGTATTAATGAAATACGGTAATCAGAATATTGCTAATTATAAGTTGCTGTACCACTAGCTTTTCTTAATAAAGGATTAATTACATGCATCATAAATACTGCTTCGCAGAGAACATGATGAGGCATGAATTGAAATAATTTCGTTACAAGGTAGCGATTTGTCAAAAATTAAAAAAAAAAACAGTGATGATTTATTTATTACTCCATCGTTGTACAGTAAGAGAAATTGAAGACTATCGTTTTGCAACCACGTGAGAATGCTGTACTGCATGGAGCAGTTAAAAGGCAATTGTTCTGAGATATTCTTTTTTCAAAAAAAAAAAGAAAAAAAAAACTTAGATGGTTAAGATAATCATTCATGTATTTTAACATCAATGGATCTAATGTTTTGTTTTGAATATTGTGGAAAAGCTTTCAAAATTGTTTTTTTATGTGATTGGAAACAATGTTAATATACACTCATTAAATCGAAAATTCCTCGTGAGATTTTTTTTTTTTCAAGACAAAGAATATTTTCGTTCAATAAGATAAGAGATTTGTTAGTCGCTTTAAAAGAGTAAAGAAAACAAAGAGTGATCGATCTGAAAAAAAAAAAATCTAAAAAAAAAAAAAAAAACCAAAAAAAAAAAAAACCAAGTCTATGAATAGGGCATAAGACACGGACCCCTGGAAATTACAGAAATGGAATCTGATATCTAGGAGGAGAGGTATCCCTCCTTTTTTATCTCTATGACGTCTCACAATTTTCTTTAATGCATCTTATTGTTGAAGTTTAAAATGTAATTTTGATAAATAATGTTTAAGTCAAACAGTTCTAAATAAAAGTGTTCAATATCGCAAAAATCCTGTTATCTGCAAATATGGGGATTGATTTGACAGTTACTAACCAACTTACTGATGAATAAAATTCAAACATGTCTAAGTCTGTTTCTTGATCCAAGAGCCTGATCACCACCCTTCGTAAGTTAAATGCAAAGCTTTGGTCCGGACACGACTTTTATATCACAGTTTGAAATCACACAGATTGTCAAAAACAATTAAATAAAATATAAACATTTTCTACCCTTATATGGTCAATGCACGTATCATGAACTCGACCCTTTTATGTTTAAAACTCTAATTGATAATACCAGAAGTGTCTTTCCATTAAAGATCAATATTTGTACCAATGCTATCATTTTATTGTATAATTATCATACAAGATTCTTTCTAAAGAAAATAACCACTAACAGTAGTCGATTTCAAAACACACAACCGCCGCCACCACCACCACCACCAAAATATTGATAATAATAATGGAAATAACAGAGCCCCCCTCTCCGAAACAAATAAATAAACAAACAATCAAAAAGAAACATACATATCAACACAGAAAAAAAACAACAACAAAAAATTTAAAAGATAACTTACAAATAAATTAAATTAATTGACAAAAGTGTTTGGATTATCAAATGATAAATTGATTGTAGCTTAAAAGAATAGCATACACACTTAGTAATCATTTTAAAAACAAAACTTTATGATGTTTACATATGATTAAAATTCACATTTCATGTTAATTTAAATTTAACTGAAGTCATTTGTTTTTAAACCTTCTTCATCAAATATAGAAAAGACACAGTCATGACTTTATTTTAAACCTGGTCCGTTAGAAGTGACATATGAAAGCATTCCAACATGTTACATGTAGTACGACTGACTTTAATTAAACGCCATATAATGCAAATAATAATGAATTTATTTAACAACATGAGTCGTTTTGATCTCTACATCACGGTTCATGATTATCTTTTAAGGTCGGATAACTAAGATAATAACAAAAAATACTAATTAAATAAGACTTTTTAAAAACGATAATTGTTAATTTTTGCATAAGGGTAATTGGACATTGTGAAATTGATTTTGACAAAGAAAGAAAGCAACAGAGAAATCATAAAGGAAAAAAAGTGAAATAGGAAAAAATGTTTGTAGTAATGCTCATTAATCAATTGCACAAGTACATTTAAGCAAATAGGAACACATTGATCGAACTAAATATTAGAAGCATACTATTCACTTAAACACCCATGAACACAAGAGTTGAAGTTGAAGTAAATGATAAATAATTCTCACCAGGTGGATATATTTCTCTGTCTTCCCACTAGCTGTTTCTCAGGATTGCGAAGGAAAGGGTATAATGTTTTCCGAGGAATTTTTCTTTATATATGTTCCAGTAAGGTTAGACAGGTCACATTTTTAAGTAAACTGACTATTGCTAACGAGGGGCGGGGACTAAGCACAGGAAACTGCAAATTATGATGAAGAACCAAGAGCTGTACCTGAATGCAAATTCTCTCCAAAAATAGTGGTTCGGCATTAATTGCAAATACTTGACTAGTGTGCTTGTTGAATTTAATTGGGATAAAAACTTAATTGTTGATATTTGTTTTTGACACCTTTAAATCTAACTCTGTAAAGGTCTCCTGTTTATTTTGTCCAGGTTCATGATAACCATTTGTCATTTTCTTTAATATCTAATTACAGGCCATAGCAATTAATTAAATGATTAAATAAAAGAAACAAGGGAATGCAGGCAGCATTCATTTAACATTACGATATGTTTTACCTGTGATCATTATGAAAGTGCATGCTGGTTGTGCATTTTTTTCTTTTGTTTTATGTCCACAGCATTTTGATATTTTCAAAATAATCACCAATTTTTGAGTATAAACCATTCATGGATCCTGCATTGGCTGCAACAAAATTATGCTTTCTATATAAGTAGCGTCACTTGTAAAGATGTCTATGAACTAATATTAAGATGTGAAAAAAATATGATGTAACTTACCCTAATACTTTGGAATTAAAGATATATGTGTAACATTGCAACACGGAACCCTCTTCATGGACTCAACCTCTGGTAAGATAACTGTCTTTATTCGTCCTCTTCATAACCTTTTGTGCACAATTCATCCTGATGTCTGCTTAATGAAAATGGTGAATAAAATGAACTGTAATTAACCTAACATATAAAAATGCAGCTTATCCCATTCATCTGCTGTTTCATCATGACTTCTTTTCTGTGTATTTATGATATAAAATGTTATTTTTTACGAATTTCTCCTGCAGTTGATTTCGTAGAGAACAGAGCTCTTTCAGTGACTTACTTAATATGCTAGCAGTGTTCATATATTTCTGTGCTGCGAACGAAAAAAATAATCAATAAGAAAAAAATAGAAATGAATAGATTTTTCTTGTATTTCTGGAAGATATCTATGAATGCTTTAATGCAAATGATAGCGAAAATGATAACTCAGAGAGGAACAATTTTGTCATGATGCTAGTACAAATGCAAATTAATGCCTATATGTGATATTGGACGGATAAGCTTCATTTCAAACATTATTTTAGATTATAATTATTGCAAGATGTCTGTTTAAGGTAACAATTAGATACAAAAAAGATAAGCATATAGACAATTTTAATGGCAAGACACGCATACATGTATTTCTTAAAATGTAAATTCAAGTTAAATTGTATGCTCTTCAGACTTTCTCTTTGGTTCTGATCCCTCCGAGAAGATTTTATATACAATCTGACTTTACTTATGCTTGGATAATAATATTGAAAATGAAAGAAAAAAAATTGAACAAAAGATTTTATGAACTTTCATTATCTACGTTAAAAAACGAAGAAAAGAAAACATCGTTCGACAGAGAACTAGTTTTGAAGTTTCGGTAAATTAAAAGGTACATTAACCCAAACCCCACCTATATCTATATAATATGTTTTGGTAGTCATCTGCTTTAATCAACTAAGTTGAGGGATTTTTTTTTATTCGTGTTTTTTTTTCTCTTCTTTTTCTGTCTGTAAGCTAAGAACAGCCTCTATGTGGTCGGTAAACAGGGTAAGCCTACTCTTCTCAGAATTTATTATTTATTTATTTTTATCGTAATTTTGTGTTATTTAAATGCAAACTGTTTCGAAATACTTTCCTGATAAACATCAATGACATGTTCTGCATGATCAAAAACGTTGCGTCAAAGTTTTTAAAATACAAACGTACAAAAAACAACAATTAAATATTAACGTCTTCACGACAAACAATAATCTTCTAGAGCATTTGCTTATATTATGGGACAGGGAAATGTAGATTATTTCTAGGATTTCACTGGTTATGTTAAAGGTCAAGAGTTAAAAAAATCCGTAAATCCGTTGGCGCAAAGTTTGGTAAGGACACTAGAAATGAAGGATAACAAATGCAATATTAAAAAGTTTATGAAAAAGATTGTGATGCTTTACGAAACCAAAGAGAAAAGTTTCCTTTTAGCAAATTGATTTTAATGAAACTTCATAAAAATTCAAAACACAGAAAATTGTTGGCGGAGACAAAATGAATCTAGAAATTGGTGATTTTTTTTTCTTTTTTCAAGAATCGAAGTGATGTAATTCAATTTATTCATTCTCTTTTTCATGGTCTTTGTGTATACCATCATTTTGAAACAAAATGTTTTGAGTGGGCCATATTTAGATATGTCGATAATTAGAACAAAGTTATAGATCATATACTTAAAAAATAATAGAAAAAGAAGGGATTTTGAACTTCCACCATATTTTAACAGAAATTAGCTCAGTCTAAATTTAACGCAATCTTTCTGATAAACCGATAAGTGTAATGTTACAGTAACACATTTTGGGTCATTACTCTAAATGTATTTGATCTAATCATATGTTAGCGTGAACTTAGTTTATCACGATTACTATAAAAACAAAAAAATTGCATAAAGCAAAGTAACCTCTCTGTTTCTCTAAAATTATGCTTTTGGACATTTTTATTTTGTTCGTTTCGTTTGATTGATTTTTAGTATGAATCATACTGTTCGTTTGGATTTTAAAACTTCATAATATTTTGCAATAAATTTGTGACATCATTTTATATTTTCTTTTGGTGTGACCATCTTCAATTAGTACATGTCGAGAGAGAGAGAGAGATAGAGAGAGAGAGAGAGGTTTAATATTTTTTCACAAGTTCAAGTTATTATCAATGGATTTAGTACTGCTCTTGACCATATATTTTGTAGAGCTAGAATACAGAAAAGATTCACATACAGTATATTCCATGGAAAAATAGAATATTTATCGACTATGTAGAAGATTTAGGAATGGACTGTTCCTCACACAGTGCTTAATGGAAGACGCCCGGAATGTTGCTTTTTTTTCAAATGGTAAGATGTTTTCTTTTTTAAGTTTTAAGGTCAAGATCTAGTAAATGAAGAGTGCCTACAGATTTCTAAAGTTGGAGAAACAAATTCCTTTTTTAATCTATTACAGTTATAGCTAAATAAATTGAGGTGTATCGGGGCATAATGTTTAGATAAACTCAACAAAAAAAAACATATTTTAAACTGCCCTTTTCAATGAAAAATGAAGAAAATCAGGTATAAAAATGGGAGTTTTCTCCATTTCAGACAAATAAAATGTATCAATATTGTCTACAGTCTCTCAGTAAACGGTTTTTCATATCTTCTTGACCTCTTCTTTAAAATGATATTAAATTGAATATAGGTATCGGGGTTCCTTTTGAAATGATTTCAAATTGAATTCCATGAAAATCTACTTAATTCTGTTATAGTCGTAAAATACGGAAAAAAATAAGATTAAATCAATTATGACGTCATAAAACTATCTACCACCAAAAGACAGACTGGGCTCATTTACTAGATCTTGACCTTAAAGGGTTTCTTTTTCTAAGATGATGTTTTAAAGTGTTTATTCTTTATGTTACTTCCATATCTTATTTCAATCAGGCAGTTTTAAAAAAATTAAATTATCACTTATTTAATTTTTGATTTAAATAAAAATCTTTTATCACTAAAGTAGTCATATGATTTTCAAAAGGTTAGATTGACATAGCACATAAATAATTGTACCATATAAAAAATATTTTTTAGGAATCATATAGTATTTTTCATCATAATTACTTTCTTACCAAAGTATTGTGACATCCTGATCTACATTTGAAAAACATATTTTTTTTTAAAACATAAAATTTTAATTGGTTCTCAGTGTATGTATTATGTCAATTGTCACATTAAAATTTGCATTGCAATAAAACCTTTAAAATATGAAAAATATCTATAAAATATATATAAAATTTAAACAGTAGTAAACGAATAAAGAACAAACATTTTATTATATTTAAATAGGATGGTTTTTCTACAGATTTCAAAATCTCTTTCCCATTTAAGAATTTTAAGGACTTAATCATAGGAATTGTGAATGAATACACCATTAATGTTCGTGTTTTAGACGGTACATTTTTTGAAACCAAATTTGATAAAACCACAATTTTTCTTTAGATATTTGTCCTGACAAATTGTGTAAATTAACCAACAGAATAACAGTTTTGTTAGCGGAATTTAATTTTTGAGATCCAAAATTAAATAAATGACAAAAGTTGCAATTAGTGTCAGCCTATTTCTAATCAACGCGCAGCAAGCGCACTGGAGATGAATACAGTGCGTCAGACAATGTCCTTCGTGACATGTCGTGTCAAAACTGCTGCGTCGGTGGCCTTCATCCAAATCGAGGTCCACAATGAGAAAAAAATTTAACAACATATTTTTTTTTTGTGAAGACTACATTTACATCTTGCAGAGTAGTTCTTATATGTTTGTTGTTTAACGTCCCTCTCGAGATTTTTTCACTCATATGGAGACGCCACCACTTGCCGATGGAGAGCTGCAAATTGTCCCTTCGTTAATATTCCTACTCATATTCGGACATCACATCTACCAGGAGGTTTACAAAAGACCTGTTCTCGACACTTACGGCCTTTGAGCAGTGAAGGATCTTTTTCGTGCCAGCTACCTGCTGTGACACGGGACCTCGGTTTATACGGTCTCATTTGAAGAACTCATCTCCGTACCACAGTAGGATTCGAACCCGCCATGTAAGGATGGACTCCTTACTCAGGGAGTCTAGAGCAAACGCTTTAACCATGCGCCAGCGGCAACAAAAGAGGAAAATAGTTCCATTAAGAATTCCCACTGGAAAGAAAAACTGCCTTATAACATGAAACACAAATACTTTAAATGTCTTAAATTCCACGTGTTTAACATGTTCGATTTTCTACGTTTTCTAAATATCTTTAGAAGCAAAGAAATCTATGGGAAATTATCTGTAACAAAGTAACCAACTTTTACCAGATATTATTAATTTACTCCGTTCGCAGTACAGTTAAGGTGCACAATGGAAATATCGGCGATTTTTGTGATTAAAAATATATTCTTAATCAGGATAGCGATTCTTTTTAGAACTTTATTTATATCGGACATATGTAATTGTTGTTATTAACTACATATTGTGGACGATTAGATTTTATATTTAAACTTGTCAGGTGATGTGACAGTCACGTGATTTAGCACGTACTGGGGTCACCTATAAATTTCACTGGTGCTAGGGCATAACCAAGTTAAATTTCTAAGCGCATAAATATTTTCAACACGCATTTTTGTTTCGAAAGTGCTGCGATCCTTTATATATTCTGCTATTTAATTGTTAAAATCATGTTTGTATGACTGCATGCTCAAGTTTTTGCTGGTCAACGACATTAAATATATATATAATTAATTCGTTTTCAAGATTTCACTAAGATCGCAGCACTTTTCAAATACCTTAATACTTGTAGAGTTTATTTGTAAAAGCTTATTGTGATCCATTGAGTGTATCCACTTGCTCTAGATTGATTTATTCAGACCTTTACATTACCTTCCGATGTACCTGCATACAAATATACACTTAAATATCACTTAAATAGGAAATGTACGGAAAATATATGAATAAAATCATAAAGAAGACATTAATTCTAAATTATTGGCCTTTCAAATATTTGCAAATAATATTTCATTTAATTATAAAATATATTTTTCGTTGTTAATATATTACTTGATCCGCCTCTCACTGCATACAAATCTCGTCAAGTTTTACGAAATGACGTCATATCGACAAGTGCATTGCGATCAGTGACTTGTTTATACCTTGCTGTTTAGGATTTAACTATTGACAAAACAGCATGTTATAGTAAGTTGTTATGTAATCTGATGGTTTCCTACAGTTTAAAATAGCAAATCATTTCATTTTGTTGTAATTTTAAGAATTGTTAGTTTTGTATGATGTCATAGTTAACATTTCCCGTACAAATTAGACCCCGCCTCCTTTTTATATCCTTAACTGTGCTACGTTTTCTAAATGATTTTCAATGATTTATATCTTTACTACTAATACGAAAGAAGATTTTTTTTATGTATAGCGCTTATGATAAATGAAAATACACTGATATGTTTGTCAAATGAATATTCACGATTAATAAATGTTCGAGATAAATACTTTTATCGCGAACATAGTGAAATTAAAAGCTCCGCAGTGTATTCCTCTTTTATAGTATAACGAACAGTGAACATTCTCAGAAATGTGATTAAAACATGCATATACTGAGTAGAACAAATACAGATTACTGAGAAAGAAATCAGAGGTGGGATCCCATTCCCCTGTCGATGGATTTTGTTTCATTTTCATCGTCGGTCTTCTTGTGGTTTTTAGTAATCTCTCGGACGAAAGAATTAAAATAAAGTAAGTTAAAAACTTTTGCATATATAATTACAGGGAAATATCGAGACATGTTATTTTGTTGTGTTTATGCATTTGGGCAACAAGTGTTTTATGATTTAATTTCTGAAAAGTTAATATTTTAAACTCCTAATTATATCGCTGTCTAAAATACTGGCAACGCCAAGCATAGCATCCACTCGTGTTTTGATGACTCAAAATTTGCAATCGCTAACAATTCACATTTTCATTTTAATAATTTTATATATATATATATATATATATATATATATATATATATATATATATATATATATATATATATATATATATATATATATATATATGTTAATAAATATGCACAAAATTTGCTTTCAATTTCAGAAGTACATTTTCCCGACCAACGTTTATTCGTTTGTTACTACATTCAAAAGTCCAACAAAGTAACTTGTTTATTTGCTAATTTATATTGCTTAATCGCACGAAAAAGTCTTAGATGTGAGCTGTGATTACACAATTTACTACGAGATAGTTCAACCAATAACCTTGAAATTTTAAAGGAGGTACCAAAGAATTATGCAATGTGTTATGCAAGGGATACTAAGTGAAGACATAAATTTCCTTACATTATATACATATCACATGACATGTAAAGTCCACACTGGGTTGTTTTATTCAAATTTACAAAAATTAGAGTCATTATGTGAAGTTTAAAAGCTTACTCTGAAATACACGAAAAACACCTAAATCTTTAAAATCTTCTACAATTTCACAATCGTTTGATTACATCCATTGTTACAAACGATTCTTTTTGATCAATTATTGGAAGGTACTGAATACATTTTTTGTTTCAAGCAAAGCAGTAGCTACAATTGACATGTTCCGTTACATGGAATACCTTTTTTGGAAATGTAAAAAAAGAAACACAGCTTATGAGTAACTCTGTTTGATATAATTTCATGCAATTTATGCATAAAAAAAGAAGATTTTAATTTATATGTACCTATCAAGTGTACTCTGTATTAGAATCATCCTTTAAATTAATGTAATAATTAAGGAAGGATTGTTGTCTTGTCAGTATAGAGGCTAGCATCAAAATTTCACCAAAATAATTCACTTGGGAGTAATATACTCTTTCCAACATTATCGTTGGCCATCGCAATTTCAACCATTTCCAAGATGGCTGAGGCTTAAAGGAAATGGCAATATTTCTATTCTAATGGGCCTCACATATGATTGACTTATTGTCATGTTAACTATGTTTTTGCCGTTCGTGATGTATATTGGCATAACTAAGCTTTGAACAAGGTATATTAATCAGTTTGCTTTAAAAGTGAAGCAAATTGACGATTCAATAACGGAATTCAACCCCGCAATACTTTTTTTCCAACTGTTAATCAATAAAGTATAAATTGCATGCATTACAATGGTGGGAAGAAATTTCAAAGCGACATATCAATATATGAATGTTATATGAATGCAAAGATAGGATAAGGCAACGAATGCAGAGAGAAAATAATGGGAAGATATGGCGCATCTCGGGACATGAACGCAATTGGCATGGAGAACCTTTTGCTGAATATTAACAAACGAATTGAACGTACAGTTACAAGCTCTCACTAATGAATGAATATATTAACATTTTGTAGTTGTCAGATAGACTTTCGGGAGAAACAACAACAACAAAACTACATGATCTGATAATGATGCGTCAGAGATGCAAAGCCCAGGTTATTTAAGAGTAAAACGAGGAGCAGAAGAAAGCTCAGACTACCATCCACTACATGGAAAATTGAAATAAGACTGGCAAAACTCAGAAAGAGGAACAGAAGGACGAAGAAGGTACTTTGATGATAATCGAATTTAAAATCTAAATATCAGAGAAGATCTCTGTAAATGACTGGGATACATAAAAATCATGCTGAAAAATCCGTGAAAAAAAAAAAAATCGTATGTAGAAATAAGAAATTTTTCGAAAATTAGAGATTAAATATCACTAGAACAATGGAAAATCAAGGTCATACGAACAAGCCTATGATATAATTTTTAAAGCAAAACAAGATAGGGATAGGAGGAGTATTTAGATAAATTATTAGGTTCTAGACAACAAAAATCAAACATACACAGACCGGAAAATGAATTTTGAAAAGAGTCCGCCTTGCAAGCTGAGCTGACAATTCAGGATTCCTAAAGAATCACATAACATTGGCAAAATCCTATGTAACAGTTTTAGTAAAGCGAAACCCAAAAATAATAATTATAAAAATAGCAGAAAAGATGTTGTTAAAGCTAGAAAAAACACTTAGATAGATGAAAAAAAAACCCCACCTCAAATGGAAAAAAAAATGAAAACAAACATTGATCGATTGATCGAGGATGTTCTAATCAGACCAAAACCAGAGTGACAAATAATATTTTACCCAGACAAAGACCTGAATGCCAAAAAAAAAAAAAAAAAAAAAAAAAAAAAGGAAGAAACAAAAAGGAAGTAAGAACAGTTAGAAGAAAACAGCAGGGATTTATATGGCATAAGAGCAGTGGCCCAAAACATTGGAAGCATAATATGAGAAACGGATACACTAGGTACATGTAATCCCAAGTGAGTGAAAGAAATTAATTCATGTTTGAGATGATTATCTCTGCAGAAAATGAAGAGAAAAAGCACATTGCAATGTATTTAAGCAAGATTCTTAACACTGTCTGGAATAGAATATGAAAAGACAACAACGTTTTGAGAGGTTAATAAGCAGGACATCGATCACTGAGTACTAGTAATAGTATAGAGCATTCTAATATATAATGACAATAATCATTTACATTAACTTCAACAACTTAAAAAAAGTGTTTGATATTATCTATTTTATTAGGTACCAATTTTGATGCACCAGGTTTCGCATTTCGACAAATTATGTCTCTTCAGTGATGCCCATACCAAATTAAAACGTTGGAAATCCGAAATAATCAAATAAAAACTTTGAGGAACTGAAAAAAGGGAGATCCAAAGATCGGAGCCAAATACGTCGAAGGATCAGAGCTATGCATGAGGGAGATAACCATTCGTTTTGAAATAAATTTCTAAATTGTACCACAGAATTTAAATACATGTCCGTTTTTTAAAGCTAGTACCGAAGTACTTAGCTAGTTGGCTGTAGAGACCCAAGGGAACTATTAGTCCACCAGCAGAGGCCTCTACCCAGGGGTCATAATGCTAATCTTATACACCAGATGCGCCTTTCGATAAATTATGTCTCTCTTTAGTGACGCTCACGCTCATGCCAAAACTTTGGAAATCCGAAATATCTAAATTAAAAAAAAACTTTGAAGAATTATTTATTTCCAGCTATTTTGTTCAGTATGTTTCTGACTAAATGAATCATTTTTTGCAAAATGTCTTATATTTATGTTAGAGATTTGAAGAAAAAAACATATATTTTCCTTCTCATGTTTGTTAAATTCAAATAGAATTGGTTAACTGAATTTTAAATTTAGCAAGGACAATATTTTTATAGCGGAATGGCGGCGTTTGAATGTTTCGTTCTCAAAATTTCTACAAAATAGTGAATTGGGTTAGCATTTTTAAACAATCAAAGGCATAAGTAATTTTCTGAAATACAATAACTGAAAATGATAATTATGTAATAAATTTTTAAAATTCATGTTTTTAAAATGAATGTGAATTTCAAAACCAACAATAATCTTCCTGGATTTTGAAAACTTCCACTCCAAGAGCAGATTTGAGCAAAGATCAATAAAAATGTACTTTTTCAGTAAGTTGATAATATTTTATTGTTATTGTGTAATGAGTATTTATATGACCACTTCACCATAAACATATAACAAAAATGTAAAAAAAAAAATGTATGGTAAAAAATAAACATACAAAGCATATAAAAATATGTAAAATTACAGCAAATGTTATGAAAAAATTGAGGAAATTTGGGTTCGGTTTTAACTATTTCAGTTAAATTATTTATTTTTTATGAAAACAAATCCTCTTTTGAAATCATATTATTGGCAACAGTATTTTTTTGAATTCTTAATTCAAGAAAAAAAAGGAAATTGACCTTAATCTGACTCTTTTCCTGATAAATAAAACGGTCAATTTTAATCTACTAGTAATTTATACTCACAGTGATATTGTCTTCTTGAATCTGTGAAAATTTCATTAGTTTTTAAATAAATATACATATGATAAGAAACGTTCTTTAATTCATACAGTAAAGAGCTGTTTGAACACCTGATAGATACATGTCTATTGTAAAACAGTTTTGTTCACCAGATGTATATTTTCTCATACGTATTTACGATAACTTATATCACTAAGTAATATATATCAATCAGACTCTCTGTAACGTTCATAAAATTGGAATACTTCTTTGTAAAGAAATGCAAAAAGTACAATAAATCATGTATGCACGATAAAGAAAATTAACGCAGTTATAATAATTGTATATGGAATATTTTGCTTCCCCCCCCCCCCCCACCCCGTCTCCAATATCAAGATTTTCATTTCATTAACATTCAATAAATGACAAAAATTTAAATTCTTGTTTACTTTTTCACAATATTCTTGACATATTTAGAAAAATAAACTGGAAAATGAATAAACTTAATATTATAAGTACATGTTAAAATTATTAAAAACTTAAAACAGGCAGCAAACAAACCTTGAGGATTCATAAAAATACAGTTTTTTTTTTTTTTTTTTGTGGTCAATTATGACTTTGTATTTCAGCAATCTTCACATTATCACTTAAAGAATAGCGCCCTTTTAATTAAAGAGTAATGACACAGGTAAGTTAAAAAAATGCACATTATCTGGTTTTACAACATCACATTATCACTTTGAAAACACCAGTTGGGAAAGAATGTGATTTTTTTCGTACAGACATTCACGTACGATTTCGATTAATTGCTAGTATCTATCTATTTTTTTTTTTTTTTTTTTTTGGATTGTTAACTTGGAAATAGACATACAATCCGCGAGTTTAACATTTTCATTATTAATAACAAGTGATCTATTCAAGATGAGCATTTGCAGTGGACGAAGATCCTTAAGAGCTCAGAGGATGGATGTATGGAGCTAGAAGAATCGAAGTCAGACCTCAAAAGGCTATATTGCTGATATATATCTTATCGCTGAGTAATTGATTTCTCACGGCACCATTTTTATGCTGAGTAAGTGATTTCTCACTGTGCCATTTACTGATTGAACGGCATTAATCAATGTTGATCAATCAGCAATTATTAGCTTTGATTGGTGATCAATGCTGATTGTATTAATAAGTAATCAATGCTGATTAAATGATAAAACGGATCAATTAACCAGCATTAAATGATGGCCATATCATAATGATACTTACAAAATGACTGATATTAGTTACCCAGGTATTTAATCAAATTAAGTGCTGTCATTAAATCAAACATATGAAGATTATACCTCTGATTGTTAGAAGTGAGATCTACCCTCCAAAACAAAAATTACCCTTTAAACACAGTAAGAGTAAGTTATACCATAAGGCTGATCAAGTAATACGATAAGTCATTTACAAAAATAGCAATAACCCGTAGTTAGATATAAATATGAAAAAAGGCGGGAAAATGAAGAGGAAATTCTTTACACTGGAAAGCAATGGTATCAACCATTATATGGGTAAATATTACCTGTTCCACAGGAAATGAATATATTGTGATATATACCACTGCAACGCCTTAAAACAGTGAAAAGACACAATTCAACATACATAATTAAAAATAGATTGTACACTGTAAGTAATCTAATAATGAAACCATTCAAGTCAAAGATTTTTTTGTTTAGTTAAAATAGGACATGATTATTACCTAAAATGTCGTCCAAATCTTTTATTTCTAATTATTATTAATGATATCGTTGTATATTATGAATAATATAAAATATCATGAATAATTGAATCTTAATCATCTTATTTATTATCACATGAAACCATTTGCAATGCACAAATAGAAATATTGAAGATAAAATTCTGAGTTTCCCTTTTCTTGTCTTAATTCTAAAGTAATAAAAATGTGTTTCAAAATCTAAACTGTTCCCTGTAAATTGCAGAAATTACTTTGTCAAAGGGTTTATGTTTGCTTTCTGTCTCATATGTGCCTTATCCTAATTTGAGACAATTTCTTCGTCAGTTTAACAATCATTCAAATTGTATTTGTCTTTGAAATGGAACTAGAAAAAAAAAATAGTAGGAGACATAATAGTACGTGGGCGTGAAATAACCAAAGAATTTATTCATTGATCAGTGAATTGCACATATCTAGTGTGTACCAATTATTAAGTGGATAACTTGCAAAATAATTGAAACTTTTATTTAAAAATTAGTTTGAATCAATAGTTTGAGATATTTTTCAATCGGTTTAGATATAACTTAGTCACTAGTCTTGGTTTTCTTTTACAGACAAACATTATGAATAAGCTAGAATTATGCAGTTATATTTTGATCATTGTAAAATTACCTATTTTCTAAAGGACACATTTTCTTTGTTTGCTCTGCTCCCGATTTGTATTGTTTTAATGGACTTTGGCTTGCATACTGTTTGTTATCTCCATATTTCATTTGAGGAACAAAATTTCATTCTAGGGGATTTGAATGCGTTGTTAAATAATAAATAGCATAATTAAGTTTTAAATTGAACATTTTGTATGGGACATAAGGGTTCCTCAATACATGTACCACGAAAACAATGAAATTTTTCCCTCCCCTCCCACACACACACACAAACACACACACACACGTAAGCGATTTCATAGTATTTTTTATGGGTAGATTGAATTGTGTTGTCAGCATGTCGATATGAGTTAGCAATTTTGAATTTTGTATAAAACAGTCACTTTAGAATCATTAGAATTCGTGGTGCATGAGTATTTCGTGGAATTCCTGAGTACCCTACATCCAGGAACTGACATCCTCAACGAATTAATAACTGGGGTGTAAGAGTCATCTTCTCTTTTGTAGATATGAGTGAATTCAAGAAATAAACGTCCTCTTAAATCCGTAAAATTTACGCAATCCATGAAATATGGAACCAACGAATTGTGATGATTCCAGATTTATAAGAAAGTTTGAAACAAAGTGTGTTTATCCTGTGCATGCTTTGCAAACTCCTATGATAACCAGAATCACTGGATCGAGGTATTTCAAGACAAGATAAACAGTAGCAGGCAAAGGGTGTCTTCATCCCTTACAATCTATATAAATAAAAATCAAAAGGTTTACTTATGGCAGTAAAAACAATTCTTTAATTTGAATTCATTTAGAGTACAGTTTCGTTGCCATACAACATTAACAACTCAGATATAAAGGAAAAACAAAGCTTTTTTGAAGTATTATAAATGTGGAACAAAATTGCATTAAGGTATGTCACTCGTGAAATTTGTTATATCAAGGATTTTTTGAGAAGTATATTTTGGATAAGTACTCATATAGTATGACTCAAAATTGCGGAGAAAATGGGGGGTCAGTGTCAGGTCTAACTGAGCTACGGTAAATTAAGTTGACCTTTTTGCACTTAACTTGTAATTCTTTGGTTAATCACTTTATCCGTTATCATATTTTATAAGATGTAACCATGGCAATAAACATAATCTTATTTTACGTAAAATGGTTTGAATAATATTTATCATTGAACAAATCATGCAAATTAATGCGCTTAAATTATTGTGTGACCTTTTTGCACTAAAAAAGTCTCATATTTAGGGTATTAAAAATCTAAATAGGCAATAGAATATTTTCTTGTATCAAACTTTTTACGACTTAAGTGCTGATCGGTCAAAAGTATCGAGTAGTTTAAAATAATGAAAGAAAAAGTTGGGGTCATTGATGTTAATTTTGAAATATTGGTCAAAATATTCGATTTTCAGGCAAAAAACTGTGTAAATTTTATCTCGACTTCCTTAATATATCTTCATTTCTTGGCAATGTTTGATGAGTGAAGGTGTAAATTTTGTTATAAAAATATAAATTGAGACGTATATTTAATATTCCAGGCATATCATAACGGAAAATATTCTCTGAGTAAAAGTATGTGAGGCTAAAGTTCCAAGATATTAAATTTAATAAATGTGTAGATTTGCAGAATTTTCTGCTAAATATCCTTCCGCCACAAGAAATAGTCCCTTATTAATCTTGCTTCTTTGTGAATTTTTGAGCAGTTTTTTAATTGAATGTTGAACATTTTACATTGTTTAATTTAAATATGTTATTAAGATTAAATTGTAATAAATAGTTTATAAGTAAGAGGTTCTGACTGAAATTTTCTAAAAGGCTGACGAGTGACATACCTTAAATACAAGATTTT